AAAAAATATTTATACGCCATAAAAAACAGCAATTTTTTAAATTTCTAATTGCTTGTAGTTCATAGCAACATCAACCGGTTGCCGTGAAATTTTGTACATGCATATGTATAATTTACTTAGATCTATGATGTTTCAAATTTTTATTAGGGAGTCGAATAAAAAACTTAAAAATTGAGTCCTTTACTGTTTTCCTTTTATGTTTTTTATTTCACATTATATAATAAACTAAGCCTTCCAACATCTCAAATAAAATTAAACTGTTTCATCCAATATTAAAAAAGTTATTCCATTTTGAAGTACTAATTGGAATTGCTGTAAATCAAGCATCAAGAGTTAATTCCCACAAATGCCCGAAAAACCGGCGATGATCGAATCCACCAGAAAATTAGATCGCGTTTTGTTGCGAATCCGAATATGAAACATCGCGTATGCATCGAGTGATCCGAGAACGGAGAGCTGCTCTCTATTCTGGCTGAGGCCTCAGCGGGTATTTATTAATAGAGATTAAACTCCGCGTCGTGTCGTGCCGTGTGCAAACGCTCTCCCGCGCAGGACGCACGCTGTTAGAGCAGTCTGACTCAGACAGCGGTCCATGTACCAATTTCGCCAAAATAAACGTGGAAAAATTAGCAATCGGTCTACGATCAAACTTCAATCTCTGTCGATTGTTATAAAGTACTTACTTCTAGTGTTCAAAATAAACAACCGCGTCGGAACTGTGTGTGCGGTCGTATGAATTTGGTGTTTCTCGTTCGAACGTCGTTCGAACGACGACCAGTTCGTGAGTTGCCAGGAACTTTGATATTGGTTTCATATTTATGTGCCCTCCGTGCAAACCTACTACAGTTCGTTTACCATTGCTTGACGTTACGACCGTTTAGGTCCATTCGTTGGAAGCTCACCTTTACATTTCCATTTCCGGGCTGATTTTTATACCATCGTGTTAAACGGGGAAATACTTCATGCCAATCACAGGATAAATTTCAGTTAGTCATATTCTCACACTTGTGCGCGCTTTCTCATGGAAGCTCGTGCACTCACTGTAATGAAATGCATTCACCGCGTTCTGTTTATCTGAGGTTAATTGCTACCCGTTATTGATACTTCGTAAATTATCGTTTCGCAATCCAAACAGATCATTTCCTTCAATTGCATAATCCTGATTGAAAGTCTTATAATATAACCTCATTGATCTCTGCTTAATTGAAGTCGCGGTACCTTGACGTTCGATTACGATCTATTTAGGTCTATTTACTGAAAGCTCATCGTTCAATTTCCGGAGCGATTTTTATACAATCGTGTTAAACAGGAAACACTTCATGTCAATTGCAGGATGAATTTCAGTTCATCTACTCATCGCATTACTTCTAGGCGCTTTCTCGGAAGCTCGGGTACTTACTGTAATGAAATGCGTTTACCATGTTCTGTTGACCTGAGATTAATCGATATTC